GACGTAGCCGCCGATGAGGAAGAAGACGCCGACCATGGCGTGCCCGGCGTGCACGAGCCGCAGCACCGGCAGCTGCAGCAGGTACCGGTTGTGCTCGTCCACGCCGTAGCCCTGGTCCACGGCGCCGGTAAAGGCCCAGGTGGAGTGGAAGATGAAGACGATGACGGCCGCCACGCCCCGCACGCCCGAGAGGTAGGCCGTGGCCGAGTGGGAGCGGGACGGCGTGGTGGCGGCGGCGCCGGCGCCGGCGGAACGGTGGAAGGCGCTCCGGCTCGGGGACGGGGAGCGCTGCGGGCTGCTGCGCTGCGAGGCGGCGCCGGTGGACTTTAGGGTTTTGGAGACGGATGCGGCGCGGTTGGAGAGGTAGCGCCCGCAGAGAACGGCCGTGTCGTACAGAGAGGGCGGCTCCGGGGGCAGGTCGCGCTTCTCCATGATGAGGGCGAAAGGTGGTCGGGACGTGGGCTGTCGAAGCCGGTCGGGTTTTTTGGTTGTAGGAGCGATTAAGGGAAAGGAAGGACGGCAGGTTTGATCTTGAAAAGAGAGACTAGAGGTGAGGAGAGGGAAGAGGGAGGCTCAGCGCATTGAGATGGGTTGGGACATTGGACGGTCTGGGCAAGTCCGTGTTTCGCTGGTCGAAAAGCAAAACCCAAAAAACGACCCGGTGGCGTTGTTAATGCCGCCTGGGTTGACGACAAATCAGACGAAGAAGAGGAAATAAGACGGAAAGGAAAACCGGTATACGGAGAGAGTCGTGAAGGAGTGGAAGCAAGAGAGGGAACAAGAGAACGTGGAGGACGAAGGGGGGGGGTTCGTCGACTCCATATGAGGTTACGCTATTTTTTCTGGTCCTTGTTCTTATTTTTAAGAATATTCTCGCTGTCGACTTTTGCAGCCAGACCCTAGTTCAGGGCCCTTCCTAGCATTTCTTGGAGATAAGCTTGGCACTGGTGGGCGAGTCGAACGTCGTCCAGGGGGGGGTCCTCCAACCCGCTTCAGCTCGGCGTTGCGCTGGTGGAGAGGTGGTTAGAGCTGCGATGATCCCCCTTATGTGCAGTAACTAGGTAGTTTGGTATTACCAGCGAGAAAAAAAACCCCTGCCAGGGTTTCTATTTTGCGCTTTCTGGCTTCCCGGGTGCTAGCACAGGCCTCATTGTCGATGCGTATTTCCGATCCAAGCGTGTGGCAGTGCTTTGCCTTCCGATGTTGCAGGTCACTGGTCGTTCTTTGCATGTGGTGGCTCGAGTCTGAGACACCTGGCCGTCGGCTCATTGGGTGGCTATTTCTGCAAGGGTCGTCTTTTTTATGGAAATGGTCTTCACTCGCAACGGAGCCGCAAAGCGCGTAGCCAGGGGGGGGATGATCGGCCAGAATCATGACGCGGGCTGCAACTAGGACCGAGGGAGGATGGCGCCAAGCCGAGGAACAATGCAAAAGGGGTACAAGGGAATAAGGCAGTCGATGTCATGATCATTGTTGGAATGCAAAACTGGTTAGTTGCGTGCTAAACGACAGGTACGACGGCTTCTTGGCGTTGCTGAATAATTACCTCCATCGTCACGACTCCTTGTGTTGCTGCCTGCTCTTGAAAAGACGCAAAATGGGCGGGACGGGATGTTGGGAGATAGATGGAAAGGTTCATGTTGACACGAGGGGTTGAAATGCTGAAGAAGTTAATAATAACAAAAAGTCGACTATTAGTGGCTGAAGTGGCACAGTAGTCTATTTACGCCACAAAATTAGGTCCCCATCCAAGCACAGGGCTGTCGTGTCACAAACTTGCACAAATTTGTGAAATCGTAATTTGTACAATTCCAACTGCTAGTTACCTAATGCTAATTCTCTGCAGACTGCAAGCCATCATCATCCAAATCACGCCAAAATCCTGCTCAAACCAGTTCGCGCGCCTTGCCCTCCAGCACCCTGACCTCCTCCTCGGCCACGCCCAGCGTCGCCGTCAGCCACCCGCGCGCCTTGTCCACCACGAGCTCCCACACCTCCTCCTCGTCTGGCAGCGTCTTTTGCAAGTACGCGACCGCGCACAGCGTCGCCGTCGCCTCCGCCACCACGCCGAGATGCACGGCCGCCGCTTCCGTCACGCCGAGCAGCCGCGTCAGTTCCCCCGACCACGTCCAGCTGCCGCTAAACGTCTGCAGCGCGATGACGGCTTCGAGCGGCGTCTGCTTGGGGGAGCTGGGCTGCTGCTGACCAAACGCCGGCTGGCTGCTCGGTGCGGGTGCAGGGCGGCCGAATAGGTTGACTGATACCGCGGCTTTGGTCACGGGCGATGCGAATAACGACGGGCCGCCGGGCGACGATGGCAGGCACTCCGACGCATCGTCGGAAAGCCCGGCCGAATTAGCAGGCTGCGCGCTGCCAAACAGGCCACCAGAAGAGGACGCCCCAAACGCAGACGAGGATCCAGCACCGGCGCTACCGAAAGCAGGCGCCGACATAAGACACGCGCTCTGCGGGCTGCCGAGGCCGAACGACGCGCTGGTCGACGCAGCGCCAAACGCAAACGAGCTAGCACCGCCGAAACTAGCCGCCGTCACCGCAGGTGCAGGCGGCGCCGGCGCCGCTGCCATCTTGCGGCACATTGGCCCGCGCGCGCGACCGGAGGCGCGTCGCGTGACCGTCGCGTCGTCGGCGTCGCTCGCGTCCACCAGCACCACGTCGAGGTCCTCATCCGCCTCATCACCGACCTTTTTGACGGCGACAAACGAGCACCACTTGCCTGCAACCTGATACTCGACGCCGAGCTGGACGGCGGCGTCGCGCGCCACGTCCTTGATGCGCATGGCGTACGCTTCCCGGAGGGGCGTGCCGTTGGGCAGCGTGGCGTCGTAGATCCAGCCGCGGCCCTCTTCGAGATCCTGCACGGCCTTGCGCGCGGCGAGCTGGTGCACCGTGGTGCCCTTGCCGGAGAGGGCGGTGATGGGGATTTCGAGCACGAGGGGCCCCTGCGGCGCGGTGCCGCGCAGGATGACGGAGGCGGGCGTCCGGTGCGCGTGCGCGGCGGAGAGCAGCACGTAGACGGTGGTGCGGCTGAACGGGAACAGCGGCGGGATGGTGTATGGCGCTTGCAGATACGCAGGCGTGGGCAAAGTGGGCAGCGGGAGCGCCTGGACGTCGGGCATCTCCAGGTCTTGGTCTTTGACAGATGCGTCGTGGAGGGAGATGGGCGCCGCTGGCTTCTTGGCGGCGGCGGGCTGCTCGCCGCTGTCCACGACGGCGCACGCGCTGACCTTTTCCACCAGCTCAAACTCGTCGTCGTCGCCCTTTTCGTACTTGATCTCCAGGCTGTAGTCATTCACATGCGGCGTCAGCGCGCCCTTGAGCATGCGCACCACCTTCTTAGTCATATTTTCGTCCTCGCCGACCGACTGCGCAAAGCCGCGCCCCGCACGCGCCACGCCCTCGATCAGCGAGTGGCTGGCATCGGCGCCGATGCCGAGCGCAAACAGCCGGATGGCGCCTTTTGCCTCGTCGACAGCGCGGTTCACAGCCGCAAACGTGGCATCCTCGTCCCAGGTCTCGCCGTCGGTCATGAGAAAGACCTCGAGGTTGCGCGCGGGGTCGCGCTGGGCAAAGGTGGCCTTTATGGGCTCGCGGATGCGGGTTCCGCCAAAGTTGGCCGCAAAGGCGGCGACGTGCGCGGCGGCGGCGTCGAGCGTGGCCTGGTTGTACGGCTGGGACTTGGGCCAGAGGAACGAGTGCGAGGAGCCGAAGCTGCACACGTTGAAGAGCACGCCGACGGGCAGCGACTTGAGGAAGATGTGCAGCGCGGCGACGAGGTTGGGCAGGCGCGTGCCCGTGTCCATGCTGCCGCTGCGGTCGCAGATGAAGACGACCTCGGGCGTCTCGACGGCGAGCGGGAAGCGCGGCACGAGCGTGGCCATGAGCGCGCGGCGCTCCGGGAGCGTGGCGTGCGTCTCGAGGACGGCGGACGGGTCCCCGAGCCCCTTGGCGCAGACGTGCACGACAAAGTCCCTGTCGAGCGCGACGTCGGCGCGCGTGAGGCTGGCCGAGGCGTGCTGCAGCGAGGGCTCGACGTCGGGGTGTGTCGAGGTGGTGCCGATGCGGACGGCGATGGGGTGCGACGGGGACTGCACGCTCCGGATGGTGGCGCCGGTCGCCAGGTCGACGTCGACGGTGACGGTCAAGGACGCCGCGGCGGTCAGCACGTTGGACCGGTGCGCGGGGAGCGGCACGAGCAGGTCCTCGGCGTAGCGCGGCGCAATGTGGGTGGGCAGCGTGTACCGAAGCCCGTCGACCTCGGCGTCGTGCTTGAGCTCGCCGAGAAAGACAATCTCGACCTTGGCCTCCTGGCCGGGGCCGACATTGCCGAGCGTGGTGGTGAAGACGTCGGAGGCGCGGCCGGACTGCTCGAGCAGGCCGGCCTGCTCGCCGCGGGCGACGGCGGCGACAAAGGCCTTGGTGGCGTCGGGCCTGGACTTGACGACGCCGCGGATAACGGTGCTCCCGACGGTGCAGGTAAAGGCGACGATGGAGACGCCATCAAAGAGCGGGAAGACGTAGCGCGACTCGGTGAGATTGTGCGCGGTTGGGTTCTTGAAGGTCTGGGTGAGGGTGGTGCGCGACGTGGAGGCGAGCAGCGTGGCGTGGGCGCTGACGTGTGTGAGGGGCAGGTACTTGGGCTCGTTCTTGATGACGACGAGGCAGCCGCAGTAGCCGCTGTTGATGCCGGCGTGCAGAGGCGGTCTTCCGAAGCGACTCATGATGGCTGGTAGGTTTCGTTGGTGATGCTTGGTGGCAAAAGTTGCCTGTTTGCCTGTGTAGTTGAATTGCGGGGTCTGTCCGTCGGACAGTTCTCGGTGACGTGTTTGTTGTAAATGTAAATGATGGGTAAGTGATGATGATGATACAAGCCAAACTAAAAGCAGCTCTTCAGCGACGACGCCTCGCATTATATACTTGTCATCCCGTCTCCCCGCTTTCACGGAAGAGTTGTTGACGTCCGCAGATGTGGTTGATGCCTAGCGCGATGCATGGCCGCGATTGGCTGGCCGTGGCAAGGCGTCCATCGATTTTGCCTGCTGCCTGCTGCCTGCCTGGGAGGCCGCCTTGCCGCTAATTATTAATTAATTAAAGTAGCTGGGCTGAGCCACGCGGCGTGAGCCCACACACTTGCCAATTAGTCCACCCTCACACAGAATCGTAATGCTTCAATCGTGCGCCCCCCGACCACAATCCATCAAAAATTCATCAGGGACCATCATCATTTATATCCAAAGAGCACCAGCCAAAAGAGCACCAAAGAAGCTAGAGAGAGCATAAAGCGGCTAGATTCGTGTTCTAGCAACGGCAAAACGAGATTCAAAATATATACGATTACTATATACCTATAAACGGAGGACTATAGCAACGAGGACGTTGCTTTTGCAAAGGCGGCATATTGTTAGCAGACTTGCACAATACAGCATCATTCGTCCACCTTCACACCGTTGGTAATATTGCCACCAGCATTCTTGACCCGCTCCATCCAGCCGCCCGGTTTAAGCGATGGTTGAGTGGGGTGCTCGAAACGAAGAAATCGATCCTCCTTGTGAATGACCAGACGATACCAGGAATTGTTCATCATACCCATGACAGACCAGTACATGTCCCTCGGCTGCGCCATTAGACCCTCGTCCATAGCCCTGATCATAATATCAGACGCGTCAGCCAGCTCTGAGATGAGCATGTCCAATTCCCAGAAGCACCAACAAAACGATGTTTCTCGCCACCACATGTCCATCTTGCCACCATAGAGTTCGTCACCATCAGGCGCATTGCGATACTGGTCTTCCGGGTAGTTGATCGAGGCTAGCCTCCAGCTGTTGCCCTTATCCAGAGTTACCTCAAGGCGAGTGATGCGTTTACCACCTCCAGCGTAAGCGTAGCCACGGACTTTGTAAGTACTAGGATTACCATCAAGTGGAACCATCTCGTCGTGTTCAGGGTAACAGACGACACTGTTGGTATTGAAATCGTGAATGGCGTAGGTTTCGTCTTTCCATATGTCTGGAAGATCGGCACTTGCTTCTGGGGTAATCATGGTTGGTAAAATTCGATTGTCGTTGATGTGATACCAGTTATCACTAGGCTCTTTGGTGACAATGATTCTCTTCAGCCACTTAACACTTCGGCCAGCAATTTGGCCAGGAATGATAACGCGCACGGGCTTGCCATGATCGGGATGAAGAGCTTGGCCATTCATCCGGTGCGCCAACATGACCCCCTTGTCTGTGTTTAAGCACCAGTTGAGTTTCACTGAAGTTCCGTAATGATCATTGGGCAGCTTATCGGCTCCCTCAAAGCAGACAAACCGAGCGCCGTCTACTGGTTTAGCTTGAGCCAACAACTCGCGGATCGGAACGCCTGTCCACAATGCTGTTGATAAAACAGCAGGGCCCCAGGCAAAGCCCTTCGTTTTGCGAACAACGTTTTGCTCTTCGCGTCTGTTTCCGGCACACACCAGGGTGACGGGATACGTTGTCTGCTCATAGTGCTCCGTGAGACCTCTCATAGACAAAGTAAACGGACGTCGAACCATTCCTTCAATAGAAATTGTCCAGTCCAATACCTGCTCATCATCGCACACAGGTACATGTCCATGGTTGCGGACAAAGTGGAGATCTTCCGAGGTGAGGAAGCCCTCATTGTAGAGGTCGGTCAAGGGAGGCTCGCCATTCAATGGATGAACACCCGTCCGGCGAAAAAGTCTTGGGTCCCGCTCCACGTGGCTATCGGGAGTTTTGAGATCTTGAGGCTGAACAGACTTGACACCATTTTGTGGGGGTAGGGGATAATCCTTGAGAAGGTTCTTCTCTGAATCGAGGAGCAGAGAGGCGCGCTGTGTCTCCCCAGCAAGGCTCGTGGACTGAGGTTGCTTCGCAGTCTCTGGCGGACTGGGTGGAGGGGTGGGAAAGGAACGCAGCGAAGAGGATTTTATAGACATGATGCCGAGTGCATAAACGAGGCCGGGTATGATAAGGTCAGATGTGCAAGAGAAAGCAAGCGGTTACGTCCAAAGTTGAGATCACACAGCGTCGAAAGTGCGGCGCAAACTCCTTATCAGTTGTGAAGTTGTAATGATCGTGCACCAGGGTTCGGGCAAATGGCGTCACACTGTCTCGTCTGAGCGAGAGCGTCATGGACGGTACATATGACCGAGGAGTGGGTGTCTCGTGCGCATGTGTGTCCATTTTCGGCAAAGAAGATTTGAAATTGTACCCTGCTCGACATGGCCGAGACCTAGAGCAGGTTCCGCGCAGGACCTAGTCAAGCCATCGAGTAGCGCGTTGGCTTGAGAAGGTCTGGACGGAGGAGGCTGGATGGCGGAGAGAACATCGTTGCTAAGGCGAACCAGGGACCATCATGATGGGGGCAGCATCGTGTGGGCCAGCAGTTGGCGTCTTCGTTCACGTCGTCTAGTTGGTAAGCCTCTTTACTAGTGAAACCCGCACTAGCACTCCAACAGGGACCACGAGCGCGGGGAACCCAGCCAAGGCGGGGTTGGCGTACATATGCTTGAGAATTGAGTCCATGCGTAGCGTGATGTTCAAGAACAGACATATAAGTTTCTGTGCGTCGTGGTAGTGGCATCGCCAATTGGTATACCACCAACTAGTCAAGCTTGCTGCTGAAAGCTGATCGGTGAGCCGACCTGGTAAGGTCCACCACGGCAGAGAGACGCGGTGTGTAGTCATAACGTGGTAGTGGCAATAAATTCGATAGAGTTGGTGGTGAATCGATCGCCTCGTTTGAATGGCAGGTTACGATGCCTTGGACCAGCCGTTTGTTGTTTGTTGTGTACCTAGGCAGTTAGTTGGAGAGTCGAGACTGGCAGCTGCTTCGTGTTGGCTAACCAGGCACATTACCTACCTAATCCAACCACGCAAGTGTAACTAACCTATAGTTACTGACGGACGGAAACCCGAGAGATTACGGAGCTCCCGGGGCATTATTCTGCATGTCTACCTAACCCATAGCCCATAGCCTCGTTAATTATAACCTAGAAGAGCGAATTGAGGGGCAATTAGGACTTAAGAAGCAGCCTGATCTCCGCTATCAGCCACCCAGTTGCCAACCCAGCGGTATGTGGCGCCGTAGGTTGTTAACTAGTGTACCAAAGTCAACCCCGGTGGGCGCTCGTCCCTGCGTCAATCTTACACGACAACTTCAGACTAACTATTCCCATAGTTAGCCATGCCGACATTCAACAAGAGTCACCATGGCAGGGGAGGCCCCCTGCGGCTTTAGTATTTTCTCGGCTGCATGGGTTGAATTTTGTCTCTGCCGGCCGAGCCGGCCCCCATCCTCCTCCCTCTTGGATCTCATGTGCTGTAGGTGCCTTCGCCGGGTCCCCCAATAGGTGATGCTCCGCGGAGATGGCAACTTTTCAATCCAACGACAAACCGCAATAGTGTTATCAGACGCTTGGTCGAATACAGATTATATAAATATATAAATATATATATATATATATATATTATTTATTTATCTGTTTATTTATTTATGCCAGAAAATAATAACTATATCAATGCAATTCAGAAAAGTTGCTTTCAGACAGTGTTTGGTATGCTTGCTGGGCCGCGCTCGCTTTTGCGCTCGCAAAAATCAAAATCACGCTGCCATGGCAATCTACTCGTTGTTCGTTCTCTTATAAAATTGATTTATCCATTCACTCTTTCCCAAGTTCATCATCCAACATGGCTTTCAACGTTGCTAGCCTCTGGCAAGCGCCGAAGCTCAATCCTGTCAATGGAAAGGCTCGTTCGATTCCCGTCCTCAATCCGTTCGACAGACATGGACGTGTCTTTTTCTTTTCCTGGCTCGGGTTCATGGTTGCGTTTCTCTCATGGTATGTTCTCTTTGTGCGGCATCTTTTTGATTACGTCCCCGAAAGCCACCGCCAATTCGTACAACATGACTGACAAGAGAACGCAGGTACGCCTTTCCGCCTCTGGTACGACCCTTTGACCCCTAAGCTCTGGAAAAAGAACTCAGTCAAGATAGAACTATACTGAAATTGAATAGTTGACCTTGACCATCAAGAAAGATCTCAAGCTCACCCCAACAGAGATTGCCAACTCCAACATTGTTGCTCTCGCATCCACGTACGTCCCTCCCAACTTATACAAAACGCAACTCGTCGCAAGAATATCTGACCAGTATCCAGTCTATTCGTTCGCATCCTGTCTGGCCCCTCATGCGACTACTTTGGTCCCAAAATCACCTTTGTAACCTGCCTGTTCCTCGGCGCCATTCCCTCAGCGCTCGCCGGCACCGTCACCACCGCCAACGGCCTTATTGCCCTGCGTTTCTTCGTCGGCGTCCTCGGCGGCACCTTTGTACCCTGCCAAGTATGGACCACGAGCTTCTTTGACAAGAACGTCGTCGGCACCGCCAACGCGCTCACCGCTGGATGGGGCAACGCCGGCGGCGGCATCACCTACTTTGTAATGCCCGCCATCTTTGACTCGCTCGTGGCGCGCCAGCACCTGACACCCCACGTTGCGTGGCGCGTCGCCTTTTTCGTGCCGTTTCTTCTCATCACTTTCACTGCGCTGGGCATGATGCTGTTCTGCGACGACTGCGCGACGGGCAAGTGGTCGGAGCGCCACGACGCCGTCAAGGGCAATCTGCGCCGCCATGGCCTCGAGATGCCCGTGTCGAGCGCGCAGGAAAAAGCGTTGGTAATCTGGTCACCCCCTCCGAGCCCGCCGCCGAGGATGCTTTCGCAGAGCGGATGGGGCACGAGGTCGTCTGCCACGACGCCGAGTTCAGCGACCAGGAACTTCTTGATGTTGCCCACGGCGAGGTCGTCAAGAGCCCGACCTTCAAGGACGCTGTCATGGTGATGATCAGCCCTCAGACTGTCGTACTTGCTGCCGTCTACATGTGCTCTTTCGGCGCCGAACTAGGCATCAACTCCATCCTCGGCGCCTATTACTTCAAAAACTTCGAGGTCCTAGGACAGACCAGCAGCGGTCGCTGGGCAGCCATGTTTGGGCTTCTCAACTTCGCCTTCCGGCCCCTCGGAGGTGTCTTCTCCGACGTCCTCTATCGCGCCACTGGCAACGTCTGGTCCAAGAAGATATGGCTTTGCTCCGTCGGCGTCGTCTGCGGCGCCTTCCAGATCGCCATCGGTCTGACCGACCCCCACTCGCAGTCCACCATGTTCGGCTTAATGGCCGGTATGGCTTTTTTTCTCGAAGCCGGCAACGGCGCCTGCTTCTCCCTCGTGCCGCACGTTCACCCCGCCAGCAACGGCATCATCTCCGGCGTGGCGGGCGCCGCTGGCAACCTCGGCGGCATCATATTTGCCATCATCTTCCGTTATCAGGGCGCCGACTATGCAAAGACGTTTTGGATTATGGGCGTCATTACCATTGCCATCAACCTGCTCGCGTCCTGGGTCAAGCCTCTCCCCGCTGGCCAGGTAGGCGGTCGCTAAATTTTCTGTCGAGCCGTATTTGTTTCTGATCGTGTTTACATCTCAGTTTATAGAAAATAAAAATAAAAACGGTTGTATTTAGAGCAAAAAGAATACGTATTTTGTCGCCAATATACTATAACTGTGCCCAGATACGTGCATGTTGGTTAACATCCACTTGTCATCCAGCTCCCCCACGTTTGACTCTGTTCAATACTGTACAGAAAGGCGGAAGATTCTCTCGCGGTCATTGAAAAAGTGTCAAGGGCATCTCCAAAACTACGAATATGGCAAGACCCAGTCTTGGCCTCATAAAGTGATGGGCGGAGAGTAGACCACAGGGCGCCGACGACGCAAGCAGGTCGATGGCGTCTTGACCTTGGTGTACATGTGCCGACTCAACGTCCTTGCACAACTTACCTGGAGGGGCGCGTTTAGCTGTTTTTCTTGTGAGAACAGGAGATTTTTTGACGTATTGTTTTCGCATCGTTTACAATGCTATCTATTAGCTCGCAAAAGGCTACTATTTCCGTCTCACTCCAAAATATCCTTACCCAACAACGACAACCTCGTTAAAAAGAAATGCATGAGAAACAAAGAAAAAGAAAAGCTACATGATTTGCGTGATATTCTGTCCGAGATTTTCCGGCTGCTTGGGCGATTTACCGACCCGTAGCAAAGTTGTGGAGGCTAAACGATACACGGTCAGCTTGTTTCGCGTCCTGCACCGTGTTCTCATGGCAGCGCATACCTAATGTCCTCCTGGCTCGTCATGGCCTCGTTCATATCGGCGGTCGGCTCCGAGCGGGCGGGCCCGTTGACGGGCCCGCCGTTGGCGATGAGGGTCAGCTTCTTGGCATCCGGGCCGGGCTCCTCGGTCGTCTTGCGCTTCAGGCCCTTGCCGGCGCGCAGCTCTTTCAGATGCTCAAAGTAGCTCTCGGGCACGTCGGTCTGGTACTCGCCAGAAAAGACGCCGACTTCGAAGCCCGTGATCTGGGTCTCGCCGTCAATGGCCTCGAGGCAGGCGGCCTTGAGGTCGTCCAAGGACTGGTATATCAGCTACGCGGGGGTGTCGGTTAGTTTGGTGTAATACAAATGAGGAAGTAATGGGGCAGAAGCTTTTTGTAGTTTACCTCATCGGCGCCAATCTCCTTGGCAATCTCCTGTCTTGTCTTGCCGCGGGCAACGAGTTCTACAAACTCCATGTTAGCATCCACGTCGGCATATGACCATGGCTTGATGTGACTCACGGCTAGGATCGGCAAGATCAATGCCGTAGACGTGCTGGTGTCTAATTTCCGGCGAGCACGAGGCCAAAATGACCTTTTTGGCGCCCGCTTCTCTGCTCATCAAGACCTGCAATGAACCGTGTCAGTCAGTGGACTCGACAGCCAAAGACAAGTCACCACTCACGATTTCTCTTGATGTGTTGCCGCGAACAATAGAGTCGTCAACCAAGAGGACGACCTTGTCCCGGAACTCCGCCTGGATGGGCGAAAGCTTTCTGCGAATGCCCTGCTGGCGGGCTTTTTGACCGGGCTGTGTCTTGTGTGAGTGCGGCCGCTCAAGAATTCGTAATGAGTAGAGCAACATACCATGATAAATGTTCTAAAAGTATACCTATTCTTGACAAAAGCATTTGACAGCGGCTTGTTCAGGCAATTAGCGAGAACAGAAGCGGACGTATTGCTTGTCTATTTGTCATTAGTATCTTGGCCGCGTGCCCCTCAGGACTGAGGAAGCGCATACCTCGGGGATGGGAATAACTGGTATGAGTCAGTATGGCACTCAATGGAATTGATGATAGAACGCAACGTACCGACGTCGATCTCTTCGATTCCCTTGTCGCCCAGAATCTCCTTCATCTTATCGGCCAGCTTCCGGCCCATATTCTGACGACTGCGATGGACAGAGATACCCTCAGACATAGAGTCAGGCCTAGACAAGTATACGTATTCAAAACGTGGGGGAGGTTAGTATGGAAGGTAATCGATACTTGGTGAAAATTGTCTTACATATCAGGGGTATAAGACTTCATGGGTACAATCTGGCGGAACTGAGGCTTGCCGCCCTTTTGGATAAAGACGGCCTGTCCAGGCAGGATATCGACGATGTCGGTGAAACCAAGCTGGGTGAGGGCGACGGACTCGGAGGCCATCATGTAGTCCAACGCGCCTTCCAGCGTGCCAGAGGGGCGGGATCCGAGGCACAGTGGGCGGATACCGTTCTCGTCTTTGAAGCCGAGGATGCCGAAGCCAGTGATCATGGCGACACAGGCGAAGCCGCCCTTGCAGCGGGCATAGACATCACGAAGACCGGCGAAAATGTCGTCGGCATTGGCACGAGCCTTGCCGAGTTCGTGAAGAGCGTGGGCGTACACGTTGAGGCTACGCGGGATCAATCAGCAAGGCGGGGTAGTAGTTGGGAAAGGCAAAGCGGCATACAGAAGCTCCGAATCGGAGTCGGTGTTGACATGGCGGCGAGCTTCAAGATCGAGGAAGCTACGGAGCTCCTCGCTGTTGACGAGGTTACCGTTGACGGCCAAGCTCAGACCGAAGGGACTGTCTGTGGGATGCGGTTAGAAGCGGGTACGAGTTGCACAGTCTCCGGGGTACTACATACTGACTAAAACGCGTTCTTAGCTTCTGCTGGTTGTCAAGAATGAGTTTCGCGTCATTTTACTTACCATAGAAGGGCTGCGCCTCTGAGCTTTATGAGACAAGTCAGCACATGACCATACATCGCTACTGTGAGATACTCACGCAGAAGAGGTTCCGGCAGTCGGGTAGCGGACATGAGAGATGCCTCCATAGCCGGGAAGGTTTTCAGCGAGACGAGCAGGCTCCTGGAAGACTTTGGAGGCCATGCCGTTGCCCTTCATCTGGTACAGCCGTCCGCCCTGGCATACCGTGATACCCGCGGCGTCCTGGCCGCGCTAGTCCGGGGCATCAGTAAGTAGTCGCACGAGACCCAAAGTGCGGCGCATTTTCCAAAGGAAAATTGACATACGTGCTGAAGATAATAGATACTCTCGTGAAGCTCCACAGCAGCCGTGGTAGCCTTGACGTCGCCAAGCTGGGGAAAAGATTGCAAGGTCAGCACATAAATCCGGGGGAGTGCAGGACCCGGTATCGGGGGGACCGCGGGGCACAAAAAAAAAAGAAGCTCACCAGGATGGCACTGATGCCACACATGATTGCAGAGTTGGTAGGGACTTGGGTCGGGTAAGAAAGACGGGAACAGCAGCAGTTGATGCTGTAGAGCGATGGCAGAGACAATCGAATGCCTTTTTGATATGTGGAAGCTCAATCTGTTGGAAGAAAAAAAGAAGGTCGGATCGTGCCTCAAGCGCGGCCGCCAGTATGCGAAAAATGGCGGGATGGACGGATGGTGGGGGCCATGGCAGAAAATTTCCTGCAGCAATCTGTGGGGCCTCTTTGGTCACTTGGCCGCCCGCCAGTCAGCCCGCATGATTCTGTCCTTTTTCAATACACATTACACATCCGATGCACGCTGTGCCAAACGAAACGAATACAATTTTCTTGGCAGGCAGGAGACTCTCAAAAGGTCCTTGCATGCATGATGCTTCTCGCAGCACCTGATGTGATGCTGCCGTCACGACTCGCGCCCTCTGACAGGGACAAACGCACGACTGGGCCGGATTGGATGTGCAGCTACACTGTGGTCTACGAATGACGCGACTCCGAGATCAAGGTCGATGGAAAAAGAATTGAAATCTAGTCGTCTACTCGCGCCCTCTGACAGGGACAAACGCACGACTGGGCCGGATTAGATGTGCAGCTACACTGTGGTCTTCGAATTACGCGGCTCCGAGATCAAGGTCGATGGAAAAAGAATTGAAATCTAGTCGTCTATCAACTGGCTCGTCTACAACTTGAGAAAGACAGGGGAAAAAAAGAGGACAAAAAAAGGGGTATAACAGACATGTTCAAAACATCGACCTCTTCCACCACGGTGTCTTCTTCGGTGCCGCCTCGCCTTCCTCCTGCACATCGTATTTACCAACAATTGTCAGAAACACCTCATTAAGCGTCGTAGGGCTGACGCTATGGTGCGCAACCCCCAATCGCTCCCGATTCTCCTCCAGGATGAGCAGCAGCTGTCCGATGGCGCTGCCGCTGCCGCTATCCTCTCCGCCGCTGCCGTTGGAAACCGGAATCGACGACGCCGGCACCGAGAACCGCATCTGTCCGTGAAACGTTTCCTGCTCAATCCGCGCCCCGGAAAACGTATCCATCACCCACGCCTGCATCTGCTGCATTTCCTCGTCGCTCGAGTGTGGCGCCGTCTTGCTCACCATGTGCACGTGCAGCGCGTCGCCAAACTTTTGGCACAGCTGCTCCGTCCCACCGAGCGCCAGCATGCGCCGCGCCATGATGCCCGCCCGCGTCGCCAGCGTGTCGGCCTCCTCCATGCTGTGCGTCGTGAGCAAGATCGACCGGCCGGGGACGACAGCCTCGAGCGTGCGCCACATGATACGCTTCGCCGCCGCGTCTAGACCGGACGAGGGCTCGTCAAGGAGAATCACCGAGGGGTTGCCGGTCAGCGCAATGGCCAAGGACAGCTTACGCTTGTTACCGCCGGAAAGCGTGTGCGCCATGACGCCAGTGTAAGCCTCCAGGCCCACTGCCCGGATGACGGCTGTGACTTGGTGGTCCACATCGCTGATGCCTCGGATGCGCGCGTAGTGCTGCAAGTGCTCAACCACGGTCATGGAGTCGATGGCGTCAAATTGCGGGCAAACTCCAAGATTCGCGCGTGCAGCAGGTCGATTCTTCGTGACTGATGCGTTTTCAACAAAGACATCGCCGCCTGACCGACTAGGGGCAATGTCACCGCGAATGATGGATATTGTTGTCGACTTTCCAGCACCGTTAGGACCAAGCAGTGCAAACACTTCGCCATGACCGACGCCAAATGTGACATTGTCAATAGCAGTCGTCTTGCCAAACGCCTTCGTCAAGTGTACCACGCGCAGGCCGTCGGTTTCTTCGCCCGGTCCATCCACGCGCACCTCTTCTGCCGCCACTTCAGGGTCTTCCGTACCCTCGCTGTGCTGCGGCTTGCCTGTCTTGTATTTCCCGTCGGAGCTCTCAAAGTACACCACCATGCTGAACCAGAAGATGCTCTGCACAATGAGGTACACGAGCGGGCCACCGTACGCCTTCATCGCACCAGGGTTACTCTGCAGCGCGAAGCCCTCGCAGGTCGTAGAAAAGACGTTGAGGGCTACCATGAGTGCGCGCACCAGCGATCCCGTAGGAAAAATGGCGGCAATAACCCAATGGCCGATCAGGACACTCTTTTCTGTCTCAGCTGGGTCCGAGTAGAGCAAGATGAAGAAGTAAGCAATAAGGTAGACGGCAAACCCCAGTCCCTGAATCACCGAAGCAATAGCGTAAGTAGCTAGAGCGGTCTTCATGATGAGAGACACAAAATACGAAATCAAAATAGCCGCCAGCACGTAAAAGAGGAAAATCGGAAACAAAAAACCGACATTGTACCAGATACTAGACGACCCCGCGAAAATGCCCGCCGCAATCAGCATCGACAAGGCCATGATGGACCAGTCAAAGATGACGTGAGCTGCCCAGACGGGAAACGCACGAGCACCGCTCGAGTACTGCAGCGCGCGCACTCCGTTGCGCTTCTCCGAGTTCGGGTACAGGCCAAACAGACCTGGGATGACGGAGCATGCAAGCGCAAAGTAAACAATGACCTGCAGCCCGCTCCCAGTAGAAGGCGCCGCGGCAATGTCAAAGGGCTTGTATTGGGTGGCGATTGTCTTGTTCATGAGCAGGCTATCAAGAAGGCTCTGGCCCAGTGTCGATGTGAACATGGATAGCCCATCGTCCAACTTGTAGGCAAGTGTAGCGGCAGAGCCTGTCTGACCAAGCCAAAGGCCTGCGGGGGTGACATTCTTTCTGTTGTCCTCTATGTACGCCTTGAAAGCGTCAAACGAGTCGACGACTTTGATGTGGCTGCTGGCGCTGTCGGCAAGATTCGGGATGATGGGCTTGAAAACCTCTGCAATGGCGGAAGCGCTAAACGTCGCAGACGGACCGCCCACGATAAAGGGAGTGCCGAGCAGATCTGTAAAGTCAGTGGTCTTGGTGTCGCTGCTGCGCTCCCTGGGAGAGCAGCCGGGCGCCGCGAGGTTCTTGACTAGCAGCTGGATGATTGCGGCCGCCACAATGGGGATCAGGAACGCGGCGAAATACGGCACCCAGTTGGTCTTGAGTATGACGAAGCGTTTCTGCAACAACACAAGGACTTGGCGAAAGAGGCTGAGCTGGCGACCGTGCAATAGTGGGAGCGGCTGGCCGGACGGCGACTTTTCTCCGTCGGCGCTCTGGCTTGGACTGACCTTGGCCTCGGCCGCACCCACGGCCTGGTCTCGCATGCCGTGGTCGTTGACCTCGTCGGCCAGGTTTAGGAAGACGTCTTCAATGGTCGGCCCAGAGAACTTGTACGGCACGCCGCGGGCCTCGAGCGTGCGGATGACGGACGCCGCGAGGGTCGCCGAGGCCGCGACGTAGGTGATTGTGTTGGACGAGATGTGGCGGTCGACGCCGTCGACCTCCGGTGCGCGGCCCATCATGTGGCGCGCGTTGAGGACGTGCACGCGGTACCCGGAGCCGAACGTGTCCTTGAGCTGGACCGAGGAGCCCTCGGCGCGGAGCCGGCCCTTGGATAGAATCGCAATGTGGTCGGCCAGCAGGTCGGCCTCGTCGAGGAAGTGCGTTGTCATGATGATTGTGCGGCGGCCGCGCTCGCGCAGGAGAATATCCCAAATCTTGCGGCGCGACAACGGATCGATGCCTGACGAGACCTCGTCGACGCAGCTGACGGCGCTATCGCCAATCAGCATCAGACCTAGCTGCAACTTGCGCTTCTGTCCCCCGGAGAGCGTCTTGGCCATTTCCTTGGTCTTCTTCTTGAGACCGACGGCGTGTATGAGACTATCAATCTGGTCCTTCGTGGCAGGGTTGGACGGCGTCTTGAGCTGGGCAAAGACACGCAGGTGCTCCTCGACCGTCAGCTCGCCCCAGAGGACATTCTTCTGCGGCGCGATGCCCAGACCGCCCGTCGTGTCAATCGCAATGGCGCCACTCGTAAAGTTGCTGATGCCCGCAATCGCGTCGAGCGTCGTGCTCTTGCCGCTACCGTTGGCACCCAGCAGCGCCAGAATCTGGCCACGCTTCGCCGTCAGCGTCAGCGCGTCCACGGCGACCACCTCGGGCCGCGGCGGGGACACAAACGAGAACAGCCGCCGCAGAAGCGTAGGCTTGTAAATCTTGGTCATGTTCCGAATCTGCACGGCATCCGGCATCTCGCCGCTGGCGGCCCCCGCGTTTTGCCGCGTGCCGGTGGTGACGCCGTGCAGCGCGCGCTCGACCTGCGCGGCGAGCAGCGGGTACACGAGAATCTGGAGAGCGAAAAACACCCACAGGACGATGCCCGGAAGCTGCCAGGGGCTGCTGGGGTGGGCGCGCAGCAGGTCCGTCGGCAGCGCCTCTTGCTCGTAGCGCGCAATGTAGGTGATGAAGTAGACAAAGTTGCAAGGGGTAAAGAGCAGGCTGAGGACGGCGACGGTGCCGGTTCCGGGACGCGGAATGGCCTGCGCGGCGATGCCGAGGATGAGCCACACGAGTGCGGTGACGATGCCTGCGAGCTGCGCCTTTTTGAAAAAGCACGCGCCGAGCAGCGACATGGACGTCATGGCGACGCCGGCCAGCACGAAGAACGGTATGATGATGCCGTAGCTGACGTTGGTCCATATCAGGATGCGGTTCACCACGGCCGCGAGCACCCAGCCAGGCAGGTACGTGACGACAAAGGCTTGGTGGTGCGAGAGCAGCCGAGCGAGTTGGGCGTGCCACCGCGCGCGGACGGGCATCATGGCGTCTATGAGCTGCGCCATGCCCATCTCGCGCTCCGTGGCGATGAAGCCCGGCATGTGGTAGCAGACGCCGATGAGCGCCATGATGAAGGCGACGCTGAGAAAGTTGATGAAAGTCCTTTGGTAGTCGCGGCGCACCTGGGCCTGCCGCTCGTCTTCCGTGAGCGCCGAGTAAGCATACTGGTGCGTCGCGCTGGGAAACGAGGCGACGCCCTGCTGCTGGGCAATCGCCGCATCAACAGCGCGCTGCAGCGGCAGCGCATACACCTCGGCCGCGTTATCGCTCTTGTCGACGCGAAAGGAGCGCCCGAGCGCGCCGTCGCCGCGCAGCGTGTAGTTCCAGTAGCCGCCGTGGCCCTCGTCCGGCGAGGCGTGCACCACGACGGCGCCAAAGCATCTCGTCGTGGCCTGGATGGAGCCGCGGCAAACGTAGCCAATGTCGGCCTCGTCGGCGAGGCGGGTGGCGTTGCGGCCGGCGCTCGTGACGGCGGCGGCGACAGTGTCGAGGACGGCGTCGATGGCGCCGCCAGCGTGGCCCGCGGCGTTGATGAGGACGACGGTGTCCCGGCCGCCGGTGGCGCGGGCGAGAGCGGCGGGGAGGGCGTCGATGCTCGACGGGCTGCCGAGCCCGTACTTGTCGTCGGCGTGGGTAAACTTTTGGCCCAGGCCGAGGTAGAGCGACGCGATGACGGGCAGCACGAGCGCCGAGTAGAGCGTCGAGGTGAAGTGCCGCTGGATGATGATTTTGAGCGTCTTGTTGCGCAAGGCGCCGATTTGATGGTGAAGATCCATGGTCGAAGGGGAGAGAAGCCCGGCAGGGCTGCGTTCGTGGGCAGTGTCAAAATGGGAATGCGACGCAGATTCGTCTTGTTCAAGAAGCGAGGCTGCGAGGTGTGACAATCACAAATCGCCAACACCAGATCGATCAAGTCTAGTTGGATGGTCTGGTATATTACAGCCCATCGGATTGATCTCGGGGGGTCCATCACCGTCTTATAAGAAAATGAATCCCCCTCAGGGTCAATATAAGCTCCAGCAAGGCTGAAGCTGTGTCGATCCACCTCAAACCAGGAATGACGCCCAGCCAAAGCGCAGAAGGGCTTGGCCTCGTACTAGCCGTATTCAGTGAAACGCTGCGCCACCAAAAAAACCTAACTAATGGCCAGGTCAAAACAAGTTGGTTAATTGGGTCGGGCTGAGATCTGGGATACGCTCGCGTTCAATAAACGATGAATACGGTGTGGATCACGTCGTCTCCTCGACCAATGCCCATTCGCGTGCAGCCCTCGGCGTGCTGCTGCTGACGACGACAAGCCATTGTGGTCATTATTAAGTAACTTGTGGCGTTTCAACTTGTTCGGTCAGAGATGAGGCTTGGCTGCGTATAGCTCGGGCGGTTGCCCAATGTCGCCGCCAACGGTCGCCCGCCCGAGGGAGGCGGTGCAGCACAAGGACAACCCGTCGTGCTGTTATTAATTACTTCGCTCTGGTCGGGTTTGTCTGAAAAGGGTTTAGATAGGGCAGCGCAAGATTGCCTTGTCTGCGGAGCGTCTACCAAAAGATGACAATATGCAAAAAAGAAGAAAATCACATGGTAACAAGACGCTCGGGAAGAACCCTATCACTCTCACGTTAAAACTCATGTCAAAAACGCAACACGTCTCTGCTGCGGTTCCGAAGACGAAAGAAAAGAAAAGAAAAACACACGGAATTAAAGAAATCAAGTCTTTCACTAAGCGCCTCGTGGCGCGCGTCAGAGATGCTGGGCAATAACAAAACGACCATATACAATCATAATGCAAACTCTATTATAAACCAATTGATGCAAGAAACTACTTCTGGGCACACCATGTCTAAAAATCCCAATTACAAGTGTCATCAGCCGACGTTGCCTATGTTGAACAAGACAACCCCCCCTTCACCAACACCCGCTACTGAGGAACGACTTCCTTGCCCACTTCGGACAGGCCCTTGAAGATGCCATCCATGGTGCCGACCTGCGTCTGACAATTAGCCACGACGCGAAAAAAGTGTCCCTGCGGTCCGGGCGCGTAGTCAAACATGAAGCCCCTCGCCACCATCCTCTCCGCCATGGCCCTGGTCCTGCGCGTGTTCTCCGCCGGGTCCTCAGCCAGCTTACCACCGGGGGCGTAATAAAAGCAAATCTGCAGGCACGGGGTCGGATTCTCCGACACGAGGTGGAAATCCGGCGCCTTGTCCACCAGGTGCGCGAGGTGCGCGGCCATGGCAAAGGCGTGGTCGACGCCGCGCTCAAAGCCAGCGGCGCCGTAGTAGATCCACGCGAGCGCCAGCTTGAGGCTGTCGGCGCGGCGGCCGCACTGCATCGTCATGTCGGCCAGGTCCCAGACGTCGCTGCCGCTGCCCTCGGGGTCGTGGAAGAGGTAGCCGGCGCGCAGGCTGTTGGCGGCGTGGAAGCGGCGCACGTCGTTTGTGAGCAGGAACGAGCACGTCATGGGCACGTTGAGCATCTTTTGCGGGTTGATCGTCAGCGAGTCGGCCAGCTCGGCGCCGTCGAGCTTGTGCCGGTGGGCGCGCGAAAAGGCCACGGCGCCGCCCCAGGCGCCGTCGACGTGCAGCCAGAGGCCGTGGGCCACGCACACGCGCTTGATGGCGCGGATGGGGTCGAACGCGCCGAGGACGGTGGTGCCGGCGGTGGCGTTGACGTAGAGCGGCGTGCAGCCGCGGGCCTTGGCGTCTCGGACGAGGCGCTCGAGGGCGGCGACGCACATGCGGCCGGCGGGGTCGGTGGGCACGGCGATGCAGCTCGCGGCGCCCATGCCGCACGCGACGGCCGCCTTTTCAATCGAGTAGTGGCTGGCGGCGCTGGTGAAGACGACGAAGCGGTAGCCGTCGGTGCCGGCGTCGCGCGTGGCCGGGTAGAGCGCGTTGCGCGCCGTGACGAGCGACGCGAGGTTGGAGGCGCTGCCGCCGGGGCAGGTGACGCCGCCGGCGTGCGGGCCGTCGAGGCCGAAGCGCACGGCGAGGGCGCGCGCCGTCGCCTTTTCAATCACCGTCAGCGCGGGCGAGACGTGGTAGACGTGCACGTTTGTGTTGAGCACGCCGAGTATGAGCTCCGACACGACGCCCACCGCGTTCGTGCTCGCCGTCAGCTTGTCCATCCAGCCCTGGTCCCAGGTGTTGACGCTGTAGCGGAGCAGGTCCTGCACGGCGGCGAGCAGGCCCGTCTTGCCGGCGCCCTCGCCCGCGGGCAGGGCAAAGTCCATGCGCTGCGCGAGGTCCCGCGGCGCCAGCGGCTCCACGAGCACGTTGTACGGCCGGTCGGCGGCGTCGCGCGGCAGCCGGCCCGTGTGTTTGGTGGAGGCGTTGTCGTCGGCCGCCTTGACGTAGGGCACGACGAGGTCGCGCACCGCCGTGAGCAGGTCGTCGAGCTCCTCGGCGCGGCCCGACGTCGACTTGCCGGGGATGCGGCCGTGCGTGTTCGTGTAGGGGAGGCCTTCGGTCTCACTCTCGTGGTCTGAAGCAGGCATGGTTGTGCGAGTGTGGTGGTGAGTGGTGGGTGGTGGTGAAGTGGTGGTGAAGGTTGTGGCGGAAGAACCCAAGGCGTTGATGCAGATCGAAAACAGCTCCAATGCAAAACGTCAACAGATTTGCAAAGTTAGATCAGTTTGCTATATTGCGAGATACAGGAGAGTGTGAGTGGCGGTGGTTAGACAGATGAGCATGAGAGCCAGGACCCTCGTCTGACGAGAGCAGAACCTCGACTATTTGAAAGCCCAACAATACGCCGGCCTCCGACTATCGCTCAGGGCTAGCAACGGTGGTTGGCCGGAAATCGAAAATGGGAACTGTGAATCCAATGCCTGCTTTGGCCGCTCAATTCCGTAAGACGTGGACTAGGAATGGGGGGGTACCTTTCCTCTTGTGTGCTTCTTCACCGTACGGTAGCACACAGATACTAAGTCGTCCCAACTCAGACCGCACCTGTTCGAGGCCAAAAGTGGTCGAGTGAGATCTTAGGCTGGCCGAATTTCCCGCGCCGTGCTTGGCCGTACAATGTGCGCGCGCCGTCGAAAAAACAAAACGCCTCCCAACGTAACGCTTTCCCGTTCGGGGGCCGGCGCCATAGTTTGTGTGGGGGCCAAAGAAACCCGTGCCATCACTGGAGTGTTACTTGTCTGTTTCGTCTTACAAAAGAACGATCGCTCTGGCAGCTTGTGTGTGTGTGTGTGTGTGTTACTGGTAAGTAATGCTGACAGGTGAGAAGAAAGGCGGCTTCAAGAGCCGGAGCCAGCCCGTCAGCCAATCACATGCAAGCACACCCTTGACCCAGTTCGAGAGCCGCTCTGCACAATTCTTTCGCCTTGTTTCTGTGCAGCAAAACGCACACAACTTCTCCCACCTCCAACCCCTACGGAGATGGACCTCAATTCCGCACGGTTTGGTGTGTTTCCGGCGCGGGATTGGGAAAGCGAATGGTCGTAGAGTTGAAGCCATTCAGCTAGCTATATCATTGTTGAATCTCGGCCAAGATGGTTTCCAAACATGCTGTCATTGTCATCAACGGCAGTTCTACGAGCAGCGCGCGCGCGGAAAGGGGAAACAAAGGCACTCTATCCACTTGCATGCCGGCACAATCCTTCTATGCAGCTCGTCGTGTCAAAAGAACAGCTCCATGCTCGGGTCATTCCGTTCTAGGAAAGTATTTTCTCTGGACGGATGCGACGCTGCAACGCCGATCCCCGCAGGCCGACTCTTGGTCAGCCCCTCGAAGACATACATATACTCTATACAGCTCCTGCGACCACGGTCACCAGCGGCGTACCTAACAAATACGCAGACTTTGATATTTAATTATACTTTTATTCCGTCTGGTTTTCCATCAAGCTCAATTTCCCCACAACACTGAGCCCGCTGCCTCTAGACAAAGGTCCCCTTGTCTCAGACAACAAACTCCCTCAACAAGCTTCCTTCCCTTGACCACTCACTCAAAATCCTACCTACCATCAAACACTTCGTCCAGTCGCCTCCTCAAATCTCGGCTCCCGGCAGTCCGGCACTTGAGCCTGTCTGCCCAGGTGGAGCAACCTCAAAATCACGCAGCATTCATGCAGCCTGGCCAAAAATACCCTCCCTCTACACACATCGCCACGACACCGGCTGGTTTTCTTTCTTTGTCAATTGACTTGTAATTCAGGTTGCGAAACAGCCTCAGGTCATGAACGCTTTGCAACAATTTATTTTCAATAAAAGAGGGGAAAAGAGACTAACAACAGAGTCATTGGACAGTTGAACGACGGCTTCCACAAATATCTAGGGTAAGACGAATCTTACTCATCGTCAAAGCAAAGGTAAGACGCACACAACTCTAGATATTTAACTTTGTCTGCTTCCCACCGTCGGCGCCTTTTATTCTTGTATATTTCCTTTCTCCCTCCCAACTTGAACTTGCCTGCTATTCCTAGCGTCTTGCCGCGCCGGTTCTTCATCTTTTGCTACTCCTACTAGGAAGTACATATGTACACCAGCGACACCTCACCCATCGTCGAGCACAGTAGACATGGCCCGGGATGCCACGTTGGACACATATTCACATGCCATGTCGTCTCAACAATCATCGTGTCACTCTACTTGTTCGACAATCAATGCGCACATCCTAGAAACGATCTCCCGTTCTGTAATCCTTCATACTCGCTGCATCACATCACAGCGTCATACGTGCACCCAGATCCAAAGTAGAGTTTCAGAAATTCTATTGCCTTTACTTGCGTTCGATTCGGCATACATTGTTGTAAGAAATAAAGCTCTAGAATCGAGGTTCCACTCTTCCTCCTCTATATCCCTCTCGATCAACATTCAGAAAAATACTCTGGAGTAGTGGTAAAAAAAAAAAAGTAAGTGTCAAGAAGATGTCACGCTCTTCCAGACACGACGTGTCTGGACAGAGAGCTTTAAAAAAGAATAATCCTCTCCAGTCTCCAGAAGCAGTGCTCTGTGACTAGGTGAAAAAAAGGGGGGTGAAAAAGAATTTATATCCAAAAAATTGAGCCGCTGATCAATGAAATGACGTCAAAAAATATCAAAATCGCTTTCAACATTGACAGCCATATACAGAGGCTCGGATGTAAATCCTCACCACGGAGAGAGCCGAGACGGCGACATGCGCGGTTCTCTCCAGGGGTATCGAAGTGGTAAAAAAAAAATGAACGTCGTGGAGATGATGGGGCGCTGGGGACGGTGGTCTTTGTACGGGGTTTTCCCTCAACGCGCAGTGATTTTGTACACGTCAACTCGCCGACGCCTTAGTTCCAGCCGAGAGAGTTCTCAGTGGCAACGGGCGCCGAGATGTTGGCAGTGCGAGCAGAGCCCTGGCTGGTCTGGCTCTGGCCACCGTACGTACCACGGTTGTTGGGGCTGAGAAGAGCACCGCCCATCAGAGCAGGGCTGCCGTTGCCGGCGTACCGCATCTCCTCGGAGCGACCCTCGGAGCGACCGACAGACGAGATGGAGCTGGACCGGCGATGGTTCTGACGCTTGCGCTTGTAGCGGCGCGCGACGATGAACATGGCCGCACCGTACATGGCACCAAGACCAACAGCCCCCATGACAATACCGGCCGTGGTAGCACGCTGCTTGCCAGACTGTTGGCCAGTCTGGTCACCGCCGGAGCCAAAGGCATCGTTGCTGTTGTTGGAGCCGCCGCCGCCATTCTTGACACCCTCATCGTCGTTGTCACCGAGAACATCAATCGTGGGGTTGATAAGCGCCGTCAGGTTGTTGACAAGCTCCGAGGGGTTGTTGTACAGCTTCGAGTTGGGGGCCCAGATGCTAGACTTGAGCGAGTTGACCAGAGTCTCGGGGTAGTGGAGCTTGGCGAGCGTGGTAATGTATCCAGCAGTTTCGCGAGTGTCAAAGGGAACAAGCTTCGAGATCTGGACCTTGTCCACGTCAATGCCGTTAGCATCAGCAAGAGCCTTGGGAAGCAGGCGGAAGATCTGAGCGGCAGCAGCCGTGTTGCCGGAAACAAAGTCGTAGTTTAGAGGGAACTTGAAGCCAATCTGGATAGGGACCGTGTCCTTGGGAGCAGGCTTGTCGCCCTCCGCGGGAATAATGACCTTGGGGATATCCGAGGGCAGCGCCGTGGTAGTGGCGGCAGTCTGGGTCGTGGTCGGCGCAGTGAAGCTGAAGCTGGTAGGCTCGACAATCATCGTGGTAGGCAGCCAGTCGCTAGTACCAGAGCCAGTGCCAGTGGGAGCGATGCTTGTGACACCGGTCGGGGTAGCGGTCGAGGTGAAGGTCGTGGTCGTTGTGGTCTCGGCGACGGTGGTCTCGACGGCGGTGCTGGTAGGCACAATCGAAGTGGTGGTGGCAGGCTCAGTACCGTTGCTGGACAGGGACGAGGTGATGATACCAATATCAGTAGAGGTGGGCAGGGTGGTTGACGTGAGGGTTGCCGTCGTCGCGGTCTCCGTGCTGTTGACAGAGTCGGTGGGAGTCAGCGTCGGAGTCTGAATGCTCGTCTGTCCGCCAGTGGTGGTAGAGTTGCCACCGGGGAGAAGAGTCGGCGTCAGCGTTGGCGGCGTAAGGGTCGGGAAGCCTGTAGTTTGAGTGCTAGTCTCCGTAGAGCTTTGACCGCTCGTCTCAGTAGGGCTGCCTGAGGTAGGGGTAGCGGTAGTAGTAGTCTCGGTCGTAGAAATGGGAACCAGGCTGGTCGGTAGCAGGCTGGTCGGTAGCAAGCTCGTAGGTAGCAAGCTCGTGGGGGTCTGGGTACCTTCCGTGGGGGTCTGGGTACCCTCCGTGGAGGTAACATTGGTGGTAGTAGACTCAGAGGTGGGACCCGGCAGGATCGAGCTGACAATCGAGGTCAGGATAGGGAGGAGGCCGGTGCCGGTGCTGGTCGGCGTCTCGGTTGTCTGGATGCTAGTCTCTGGCGCAGTGCTGTTGGCAGCCTCGGTTGAGGACCCGGGCGTAGCCGACGGAACGGGGGCCGTCGAATCGGTAGTGGCCACGATCGAAGAACCGACGGGTGTGGAGGAAGTGGCAGGAGAAGAGCTCACAGGGGTAGTCTCGGGCTCAAGTGTGGTGCTGTTGCTAGATGAAGCCGGAGGGAGAATACCACCAATAATGGAGCTGATGGGATCCAGCAGGCCACCGCCGGAGCTCGAGGTAGCAGTCGTAGCAGGAGTGGTAGCAGGAGTGGTAGCAGGAGTGGTAGCAGGAGTGGTAGCAGGAGTCGTGCTGGCCGCGGTCTGGTGCGATGTCGGGGTGGCAGTCTCCTGCGGTGTAGTGGTAGACTGGGGAGCAGTGGCAGACTGGGCGGCGGTGGAAGACTCAGGAACGGAGGACGACTCGGGAGTGGTGGAAGACTGAGATTCGGCGGGGGTCGTGCTTCTGCTCGCACTCGACGCGGACGAGGAGGACGGGAAGATGACGCCGCTAGGTCCAACAAGGATGCCGGAGCGGGTGGTCGAGGGCCGGGGGCGTACGCTTCGAGTGGATGAGGTGGTAGGCTGTGGCTCCGGGTTAGGGTTGGCAACACCAGTGCCACCAGGCACAACGACGGTCTGGTCAACGATGACAGTGGTGGTGGGAGTGTCCTGGCTCTTGGTTTTGAAGAGGTTGGTAATGTCACTGAAGTCGTTGCCGCCGCCATTCTTGACGCCAAGGTCGCTCATGATGGAGCTGAAGAAGTCGCGCTTCACCTCCAGGTTGTCGTCGTCGGTGTCGCCATCGATGTCGAACTGAGCAGCATCATCCTTCTTGGCACGCTGGGGATAATAGATGCGCGGACGGTCAGCCTCGGCGACGGCTGAGGTGGCCAGGGCCAGAGTGGCGGCGAAAAAGAGGGCAGTCTTGGAAGGCATATTGAAGCGGGTTCAAGTCGTCGGATTAATCGTCGCAAAATGTTGTAATGATGGATATCTTGGTAGTTTAGCAAAGCAGTATGGTAGCAGCGTCGGCGAAGTAGCGTACGATCAGAATATTCTAGTAGCGAATGTACGTGACGATTGTCAAAGAGTGCAAATCTGGGATGGTCAGTATGGCATGGTTGGACGAGCGCACAGCGCGCCGCCCCAGCGTCGACAAAGCAGAATAGGCGTCAGGACAAGAGTCGCAATTCACATCGAGGGTCATGTTGAGAGCTGTGTGAATTTCCGATTGCAGTCTTTGCCGCCGTGTCGGTGCCAGGCGAGCTCGGGAAACGGGAGTCGTGAGGCGCGTCGCAAATTGAAGAGCTAACTCACATATAATCGAGCAAAGCGATATGTGCAGATCAGATCAAAAGAGTGACGGAACCAAAAAGATGGTTGCGGAAAATGGAAATCGCAAAACAATCCGCAAAAAGCAAGTCGGTAATGAGTGGAAAGGCACGCGGGCGTGGCAAGTCGTCGAGGAGGTGAATTAGGCGGCGGCGAGCATCGATCGGTGGTGGATAATTGCAAGTCTGCGAATGGTTACGCAGACATGGACCAAACTTGAATTACGAGGGCGAGGCGGGAAGAGGAAAGAATCGGGCAGCCGCACAAGTCGAAGAATTGGCGACGTGGAAACCCGAAACTACTCTCTTGGAACGATTGTCGAGGTCGGCGGTGGGAGGGGAAGGAAAGGTGAAGGGAAAGGAGTGGGAAAGGAGAGGGGGAGTGGCACAAGAAAAGAGAGGCGAGAATGGAGCCGCGGAATGCCAAATGGCGAACTGAGCGGAGGATGACCGTACCAGTGCCAGTCAGTACTACCAAGGGAACTAACTTGGGTACGGATAGTTAGTTAGGAGGGACACGGGCAGGATGGATGCGAGCGAGCTGAGGAAACTGGGAACACAGGGAATACTGACAAGGGGGGACGATGAGGAGCGAGACGAGCGTTGGACTGGACTGGACCAGCCAAAGCAAATGGTCGGAGCGGTTGTGGACTGTGGACGCGGCCGGTGGACTACTAAGGCACTGCTAGTTTAGTACCTGCAGGCATTGGGTCAACTACCGCGAAGAAAAATATTCTTACGAGATACCATTGATTGTGTGCAAAATCGCGCATGCATGCAGGTACCTTCCTATCCAGGTGGTGGGCGTTATTGCACCCGGAAATTATCCCCTACAGGCCACCCACAGCCTGCCAGTCCAGCGTTGCAGCGCTCCAGCAGTATCTGCCAGGGGATCCAAGACGGTGGGTGTGCTAGGGCCAGGCCGCCAGGGGCAAGAGGGGACCAAGCACCACCACTGTCCACCCGTACGAGGTACCACTGCCGTACCGGTGCTGGAATGCAATGATGGGTGGACGCGATCCAGCACACGTGTCGACTAAAATAAGAAGTCACTGTACAAATTACATTATGCTGTTCCTAGTATTCATCTCCAATGCTTTGCATTTACCAATTTGTGCAACCAGTGCTTTGTGCCTGTTTGTACGGATATTTCGAATATATTGTAGAGACTCCCGTATTGAGTTGATTGCGGCCAAGCCCTGTTGTCAACCACTCACTGCGCCGACTGCTCTCACTCCCACTCGTTTGAGTGGTCAGGGCCCACTTCTATCGCTAGACTCGGCCTAGCCACCTTTCTTCCTGCAGCGTGACCCCTGCCAGCCGCCTGCAGTCAGCGCCTGGCAGATACATTCCCCCGCCACCACTTCCCCACCACCTGCGCATGTACCTGGCTAGCACCAGCCCTGGTGGATCGGCGGCGTCCCCCTGCTGGGAAATTGCGCCACGCTAGCTCAGGCACACGGTGAGCTTGGGATCCACGGCGAAGGGAGGGAAACAAAGACGAACAGTCACAAGGCTGCTGGCTGGCTGTTTTTATCTTTTGTCGTTGTCATTTCGTTTAATCTTTCGCCATCCTGCTGGAAAAAACACAACATCGGCAAACCAGTGTGCTCGCCTGCATTTACCATTCCATCGCGATTGATGTGCCCGTGACGGGGCCGCCAAGCCCACGAGCATAATTTACATTCTTTGTACTCAGTACATTGTTTAATTGCCCGTCTTCAGCATCTTTACAGTTACTCAGCCCCACCCTCCATTGTACTGTGTACGTTTCCGCGTCGGGTACAGCTACGCCACACGCTCACGATTGGTCCACCAAAGCCACGCCGCAGTTACCAACTCGGTTCTCCCTTTTGGTGCGGCAGCTAACACGACGCTAGTAATAACGTGTCCGTCCAACGAAAAATGCTTGCGGCCACCTGAAATCACTTTTCAGAAACGACTTCTTCACAGCCATCAGTCCATCCGTCAGTACGGAGCATATCCCTTTTTTGCCTACCGGAGTAAAACGTAAAACCATTGCTTTCTGCGAGCCTGTAATTACCACTCAGGTGCTTCCAATATTGCCGGCGCCACACCGTACCACCACCGTCTCAGTACGCCGTGCCAGCTGGCAAGCTCTGTTTGCTACGCCCGCCAGCTGCTGGTACTCACACACCCACATATGTATCCCGAGCAAACATACCCAAGATAGTCTCCCTCCACCACCACCGTCTGCGTCTGCATCTGCATCTGCATGAGCAATCATCAACCTTGTCTCTCTCAACATTTCCATCTTCTGCCACTCCCTCTCCGTACCCGTGCAGCCTCGACGCGACTCGCTCAGCTCTCAAAGCCTCGACACTGATGGAATGCCAAATGTCGCAAAGCCACTGTCTCGCTTCTGTCTCTCCACCAGAGCCTCGCCGCCTAAAAAAAGCACTCGCACGCCCTTTTCAGTATGGCTTGTGCCTCACCGTTCGAAACTTCTTTGATGCCCGTCCCGCCGATTTGCCCATCCACTAGCTCAATGACCAAGTGGTCCCGTTGGATGTCTTCGTTCTTGCTATTTCCGGCAACCCTCGCGCACATCGTCGTGATTCCCCTGCGATAAAATCTCATTCCTTGTCTTAAGTCATTAACTGGAAAGTGGCTAAATGGCTCACAGATTCTCCCCGCGGCTCATTACCCTGGCACAAAAACCAATCGCCAGCTCATTTCGCCCATGACCTCCCCGCCGAGTATCCGTACCAGTAAAGTCGGCAAAAACATGCCCGCGGATGCCCTAGGGCACATGCTTGGCTTCGGGCCCAACTGGTGATACTGTACTCCGTACGCTTCAGGTTTGCCTGGTGCCCATCACGCTGCCCCAGACCAGATTCCGCCATGGCCCCCGATGAGCCAGAGTCCAGACCTTTCGCATTGACGATCAGCAGTACAACCCCTGCTGCTGTGGCAAAACAATCCATTCCTAGCCTAGCCAGTCTCTCAACCTTGTTGTTGTCACCTCAGACCTGCGTGCTATTATTGCACCAACAATCCAAAAAGCAAAAATAGCCTGCAACCAACGAGATAACACTGAGACATGTTTTCTTGTTCCCTTGCGTCTAAAAAGAATTCTCGCAATTCTCTCGCAAAAGGAAGGAAATCATAGCGGAAGAATGAACCCCTCTCCCCCGTGTTTCAGATTCCGCACCCCACGCGTTGGAATGCTCTCCCTCGGCATAACGAGACCGTCATTGCCACGCGGGAATGCGTCTGCAATCAAGAAACTGGTTAATGCAAAACGCGCAAGCTAGACCAATCATGTCAGAATTGGAGTCAGCATGTGTGTACAAATTATGCCAGCTCTTGACGATGCTTTGTCAACATGTCGATTCCTGCCGCGCCAAGCTGTCCTGTTTTATGCCGCGCCACACAATCACGGCGTGCCCGGTCAGAGTCCATCGACTTGTGATCTTGTCGGCATAATATCGCATAGTGTTTCTGTGCAGTATGGAGTACATATTGGCAAGCTGCCAGACTCGCTTGGCGCACGGCCCCGTCTGAAGCTCTTTGGCCGTCCATACCAGCACCGTTTCATTGTTCAAATCAAACTCTATTCCCGGAGTCGATCCCAGGTATTCTATCAACTAGCGAAACTTTTCTATTTTGTGACTATTAAATTGGCAATCAATCACGGCACGCAAGGCGAGGTCCGGATCTGCTCCGCGAGATGCCCGCGGGCAAGGGTACGATTCATTTCCACGCCAGCGACGGGGCGGCAAAGTAGGACGAAGTTCACTTCTCGGCTTGACCTGCCGAGCTTGAGGATGATAACCATTTTCTCAGATGTCTGTGGTCGGTCTCTTTGACTTTTCGCTGCGGTGAGCCTGCTGCTCCTGTATTATCTGTTCTGTCGAAAGAACAAAACACTCCGAGTCCATGATCCGATCAGAAAGCCACAATTTGGCCTTGCATGGGCTATCCTGGACATGGAATCAACTCACCGAGTCCAGTATTTGTTCGTATGTATGCCCCCAAACGCAGGTCATCGCCAGAGTAGCACAGATGCCGGCTCGCTGCCTCTTACATCGCGTCATCACTACCCTACACACATGTCACTGCTTCATTCCGGCCACATTATCCTCAGCTCTAGCCCCTATTGTATGCTGCAGTGCATAGATGGAGCAAGTGCGTCGTGGCTTATTAATGTTGTGGTCTTTTGGGGGGGCTGCGACAATGATGCAGCGGTGTGTAATTTGTATGCATGTGTTCTCCTGATGCCTTGCACCTTGGGACTATTGTGGGCTCACATGCATTTTTCGCGGTTCTTTGTAAAGATTGAACGCCTGACAGAGGTAACTAACAAAACGAAAAAAAGGACGGCAAAAATAGTTAATCACACTTCGGACGCCTATATCCGTCACTGCGCGGTTGATAGTGTGCAAGTACTGTACACATGTCACTCAAACGGCTAATGTTGTCGCCTGCCGACGGTAACTATGCAATTGTCCGTCTCGCAGCCCCCTCCATCCATCTACGCAAAACAGCTGCTGAAGCGGAACCTGGTCGATTGCTCGGACGTCAGAGTGCGGATGAACCGAGTTTGGCCTGAACTTTTCACGCACGCGTGCGTTCTCTATGTCTGTGACTTGTCGCAGGATGGAAGGTGTTTTGTTTCTTCCGAGGCAGCAGGGGGTAAAAAGAAAAAAAGAACGTCTGTGACCTGGTTCTACGATACGATTGCCGTCTATTCCGGGAATAAGATGATGTCTATTATCGTCTTTTATTTTCTTCTTGGGTTCTCAACTTGGCTGTATGAGAGTGCATTGTGACGTCGGCCCCCCAACCGCTCAAGTTGAACTGAAAGCGCGGTGATGGATTGTAGTCATGGAAATGGCCGGAGGAATGCAAAATGAAAAGTGCAAGAGCTTCTTGTTCTTCCAGTGCATTTTCAAATCCCTCGCCGCTTTGCGAACAAGCCTGTGTCGGGTCAACATCAAGGCGCAGCCTGTTACAACGACGGGCGCCGACCGGACGGCCAAAGCGCGGCGCGCCAAGCACAGCCTCGATTCTCCCCACGATGGTGCGAAGAGACTGAACGCTCGGAACTCGTAGCGTCTCTCGGCTGGGCGTTTGCCGACACTTTCTTCACCTCGGTGACTGCGAGGCCGTGCTCAAGCTGCGCTGCTGTCGTCGAGTGGGTTTGTTACCGACAACCCGGGCATCTAACCAACGTGACGGGTCTGAGAGCAAGAAAACACACTAGTCTGTATTTACCGTTTTACTACTGGTTAATAATCGTGACTGTAGAGATTTACTGAGTGTTTATTGCATATAGGGTGCGGTCGGACTGTTCTGGTGAGCTGGCCAAACGAGCTGTAAGGGAGCGGGACTCACACTCGGCGACCCTTTCACTTGATTACCGCTGCTTTCAGAGATATACTGACCAAAGTTGGAGCCCTTTCTGTTCTGTGATATTGCCATGTTAGTATTGCGAATATGTCGGACTGTGGCTCCTAAGGATCGAGTGACGGGCTGCTTTGCACTGGGCTGTTGATATTCAGGCACCTGAGTTCAAGACATTGCAATGTTCATACCGATGACATGATGCAACGAATGCGACTGACTATTGTTTTCAGTACCTGCAGTTTCGAGCCCAAAACCATGACATGATGCCACTCTACTACCATGCATGACGGCTCACAACACAGCCATTGCGAATTACATCACCGCCGCCATGGTTTTGAAGATGTTGCGATTCCTGAAATTATGTTATATTAAAAAAAAAGTCATGGCTCTGCTCATTTGCTTTAAAACACTGCGCTAAACCCCTCGTCTCCTATACACTGATTTCGCTGACTGTAATCTACCAGAACAAAACAGCCTGGTTATCTTCAACGGGCGAGCACCTGCCGCCGAGCCAAGGGCGACCCACCTTTGACAACCGATACATGAATAATAGTTGCAAACGGATATCATTTCCGATCAATACATAACAAAGTAAAAGAACAACAAAAAGACAGCTACTATGGTATGCGAGATGCTGCATCGTCCCATGACAAGACGACGACAAACTTGCGCCTCTGCCAGTACCGAGGTGTCGTGTGTGTGTGTGTGGAGGATGATGTGTTGTGCAGGAGATGCGAGCTAGCGTGGGATCCCAACGACATCGCGCCACGACCGACGCGGTACTGCCGCCTGCCTGTCCAATACGGCGACGGCGGCGGCTGCCATCTTCGTCGCTTGCACCGCCCTGGCCGATCCGGTCTGTGGCGCCACTGAACGTGACTGCCGCGCCCGCGCCCGTGGCGCCTGCACGTTCCTTGCGGCGCCGGCGGCGCCGGCGCCTGACGTTTCCACGCGCGGTGATGTCCGCGCGCGGTCGCTGCCACGAGTTGGTGCTGCCTCGTCGCTGGCGCTTCGGCTCCTCGTGCTACGACTGAGGGGCCGCGCCGCCCGCGCGCCCCTTGCGGCGGCCGTGTCCGTGAGTACTGTCCCAGTCGGGTGGCGGCTGCCGTCGGCCTGCCGCTTCCTCGCCCGCGGCGGCGGCTCATCCTCGTCCACAGATCGACTTCGCCTTGCTGCCGCGCTGCCGCTGCTCTCACCCAACTGCGGCGACTGCGGCGTCAGCAGCTTGGACAGCTGCGTCTTGACCCACGCTACCAGATCAGCCTGCATTTCCCCACAGTGCATGAACCAGGCCCGCGCGCTGTGAGGCCCGGGCGTGGTGAAAGACGGGTGCCCGGACGGCCGCGGGG